TCCTGGATCAAAAATAGATTTCTGTCTTCCTGAATTTGAGAGGCTCCCAAAAAAGGGATCAGGACCCCCATCAAAATCTAGGACACTGAAATGGATCACAGTTTACCCAGATTGCACAAGCCTAATAAAATAATACACCCAGGGGCACAGGGGCACAATTTGTTTTAGGATAAAAATCAGATATTTAAATTTACAGAGAAACAAATGTTTGGAAAGATTCTCCCCTCCTACACAAGCCCTCCATGACAGCCTGAATGACAATGACAGGTTTATGAGTAATACAGTGCTTTATTAGCCACAAAATACAAAGAATTTGAAATTATCATTCCCACTCATTACGCAATCGAAAGAGCCTTTAGTTCATGGCCATTACAGATACTAGCAGTAAACTTTGAGTCTACCTTTTTCTCAAGGCTGATCCCAAAGAGCTGATGATGTGGGGATTAAACCTTGAAAGATACAGAGAACGTATTCAAGTTGAATTGTGGCTCTTCCTTTCTGTTCAGAGGATAAAGTTTCTGATCTCAGTTGTTTGGTTGGTATTTCCTGCCTGTGAGCTTGAAGAAAACCCTGATTTTTTAAAAAAAGCCCTCAACCGAAACAGAAAAGTAATTTGAATTATGAGAAAACCCAAAAAGCAGTTATGACCTATGTTCCCAATGTAGTAGTCCATTTCATTATTGTTAGTATAATAACAATACCGTACTTATAATTAGCTTTCCCCCTCTATCTTAATTTGCTGAAGGAAGATTGTGTCATTCCTATTGTATTATCAGCGAGCAAGGGCTACTAAATGATGGCAGTTGTTTCTTTTACTACTTAGGTTTTAAAAAGGAGAGGATATTTTGAAGCTGAGCACATGCATTCTGTCGAGTTCTTTTGAACTGCAGCATTCTTAAAATAAGAGTAATTTCCTTAAAATAAAATGCTCTTGCCAGCTCTAGAAGATGGGCATATTATTCATCATCACTGGGATTTTTGCTTTTCCACTCAAACCAGCACAAGCCACTCACTACTAAGACCAATCTTGAGAAGCCTCTGTTGCTTTGTGGTGACCTTGAAATGGTTTGAGGCAAGGACGCAAGTGTCCATGTGAACTCTCATTTACACATGCTTCTCAGTGCAATGCTGCCAACAACTAGGTTTGTAAGCATGCATTTTTTTAAAGATATGCTGCTTTGCTCAATCAGGAAAACAGAAAGCAATAGCCACAAGAATCTGAGTTATTTATGTGCCACAAATTAATGCTGCGGTCCTCATCAGACGCAAAGTTGGGCGTTAAAGAATGAAAAGGAGCCCCTTTTCTAAATTACCATTTAACCTAGCAATTTGAATTCAGTGGGACTCTTCTGATTACTATAAATGCTTCAGATGTTCTGACAGGGTAGAGATGCATGCTCACTCATGTAGGCAAGCAGCAGACAGAAGAGCCAGATGTCATGTTGACCTCTTGTCATCGGAATCTGATTATCTGGGGGGTGACCTCCATCCATTTGAGGTCACAATTGATGAATGTAGTGCACAGCTTTAGAAATTTTAAGCTAGCTTGACCCTACCATATGATATTTATATTTGGGGAAAGCAAAATAGAGAATCCATTGTATCATTACAGAATATATGTGGGAGGAATTGATATTTTAGTACATTTTTGGAAGGCTAATTAATGGACATGAATAAACACAACCCAATAAATATTGTTACCGCTAACAACCAAAACGTTACTCTTTTTTCTCAGGGATTATATTATTTTCTTCAATTAAATTGCAATGGAAACACCCATTTTACCAAAGATTTTCATAATAGTATTTGCAAATTTCTTTTCTCAGAATGATTTGATTGGATGTTTGATTTTCACACTGTCCTTGGTTTTCCTAAGATACTTTATCTTTTTTTGGACACCCTATTTAAATGCAGAGAACATCAAATATTACCTTGTATTTTCTTTACTAATGTGTTTATAGTTAATTAAAGTATGTGGCTTTAAAAACTCTTTATGTGGAGTAAATTTAGCTTATGTGAGTTGCTCCAGTGTGCAAAAAAATAGCTCTGTGACATCAAAACAAAAACATTCCAGTGTTTCTAACCCAATTAACATCATACTCTTACATTATAACATAATATTAAAAATGCAGTGAAAAGGTGGCATCTCATTGGAAATTTGGAACATAAAATCAACCGTCATCTTACTTATTGAACCCCATCCCCAAAAATGTTTGATGATTGTGGCATTTTATTATGATGACTAATATCCTGAAGAGGGCTGAGGAGGGATTCTGCAATTGGAAAGGAAAGGAAAGAATGGCACTTACTAGTTATTAGGAGCAATTAATTAAAAACATCTGTTTCTGGTTTGTCTCAATCATCTAATGATTCAGAACATTACATTCAACGCACCATATTCAGTGGATTTATGGGTGTAGGACCACTGTGAAAGTAAATAAATTGTCTTTTTGCTATAGAGAACACTTTTCTTGGAATTTCTAGGTCTTTTAGCTTGACTCTGTGTATGGTCAATACTTACTGGATATAAACCTATAAACATCCAAACAAGGTCCGTTGGATGAGGAATGACTTGGGGACTCAATGAAGAATGAGCTCTTGTTAGCATTCGTAATAGTACCTACCTAGTGGGTTATCTGACTAGGTTGGTAATATATCAGTTCCAAAACATATCTATGTACCCCAAGTCCCCTAAGGAAAGCTCTCTTTAATTTAATTATCAGAGGGCACACACTGATTATAATTAGGCAACAGCCCTCCTGTTGTCATCCAGTAATGTTTTCTCATTACTGGCAGCTTTCAAGCCTATTGCTCTTGCTCCATTTCTCATGGGAAAAATTGATGCTTTCCTCAAGGTATTGAGTAAGCTATATGTGTGATTGGATTTTTCTGTAACAATTGTCTCTCCCAATTTTATGTAGCTGCAAGCCTCACTTCATATTTTTAAAGTGGTGCAAGTAAATGTATGGAGGACAGTGGGCTAGCCTCCGTAGTGGCTCTCCTGATGTGAAGAGTGGCTGTTTAAAGAGGATCTCTTCTGTTCTTGAAAGCTTTCTACATGACTGGAAACCCTAGGTAGAGCTGTGCACCTTCAAGCTGCATGTGGACTTATGGCAGCGGTTCTCAACCTGTGGGTCACGACCCTTTTGGGGGTCGAATGACCCTTTCACAGGGGTTGCCTCAGACCATAGGAGAACACATATTTCCGATGGTCTTAGGAACTGAGATACCACTAACTTTTTCCCACCCTCTTCACTTCCCAAAGGCCTCTTTTTCTTCTGCAGAGGAAGGTGGTGATGTCACTCAGCCCCTCCCCCTCCATCTCCTCTGTGATTTTAGGAGGAAGAGAGGGGAGTGACATAGGTGATGTTTCCTTTGGAGCCAAGAGGGAAAAGGGAGGAGGAGGTGAGAAGGTGAGGGAGGGGGGCCTAGGAAGGGGGGCTGGGGGAGGGCAGGGCTTAGTGAGGGGTCAAGTGGCCCTTCCAGGGCCGAATCTCAGGAAGAAAGAGAAGTAACAATGAACATACATTCTGCATATCAGATTTTTACATTACAATTCATAATAGTAGAAAAATAGTAGAAAAATTACAGTTATGAAGTAGCAACGAAAATAATTTTATGGTTGGGGGTCACCACAACGTGAGGAACTGTATTAAAGGGTTACAGCAGGCATGTAGCCAGGGGGGGGGGCTTTGGGGGCTTCAGCCCCCCCCCCCCAAAATTCTCATGGTGGTCTGCGAAAAGGCCTTACTGGTGCATTATTAAAACTGTTATGTTTATTCATATCATGATCTGATCACCATGCTCAATATATCCCATATGCATGGGGGTATTGGGGTAACAGTACAAAAGGTTTGCTAAGGTAGACCCTCTTTCACTCAGACTCAGCCCCCCCCAATCAAACTCAGCCCCCCCTCCCCGAATCAAAATCCTGGCTACGGGCCTGGGTTATAGCATTAGGAAAGTTGAGAACCACTGACTGATGGTGATTCCATAGATTTTGAAGGGTTTTCTTAGACAAGGAATGCTCAGAACCCCCGCCCTCCTTCCCGGCATAGATACATGCATTTTATTCCAGTTGTCAAATGCTAATTGCCCAATGAGAAACCTTTTTGGAACAATTTTTATTTAAAACTCTGTCCAGGATCCAATATATAAAGATATACTACAGAGCCAAGCTCAGGAAAGAAACTTTCTAGATCCAGCAATCTTGTTCTATCCTCTCTTGTTCCATCTCTAAACATAATGGACTTAGTCCACATCATGCATATGCACTGGAATCATATGGCAGATGTTCATTTCTTGCTTATACAGAATAATCACATTCATATCAATGACATTCATATGTAGAAAAGATGAAGATGTTATGGTTGCCATAGCTACTGGGCTTCTTACCTATTCTTTAAGTGATGCTAGCCACCTATGCATGCATTTTTTAAACAAATAAAGCTGTGGTGCAATGGGCAGGCAATAAAGAGAACTGGTTTTATAAAAAAAAAAACAATTGTAGTTTCAAAGTAACTTGTCACTTGGGAAGCCAAGCAAGAGAAAGTAATCAGTATCTTGTAAGGAGGAATTGCATTTTGCCACTGAAGAATCTACTGGTCGGAAAATCTGCAGATCAGGAATTTCCTCTGAAAAAGAATCATCATCTCTTTTTTTGCAGACGAATCGTATTGGCAAAATATTTTATTATTTTCTCCTGGACCTCCGTCAGTCTTGACACCTGATATTTCTTGATTGGTTCGCACCTTTATTTGTATGCAAACCATTTCCTTCAAGCTTACTGAGTTGATGTGCTTTTCTTTTATTTGATTGGAAAATCCTAAGAAATTGAAACAATTGTGTAGGTGAGTTCAGATATAACAAAAGGGAGGGATTCTCCATTTCAACATTTCTGCATTATCAAATATATTTACTGAGGAATGTGTTATGGAATATATCACGCTTACTTGCTAAGCATAAATGCACTTTTCTCCTCTTTGCATTTCTCTTTCAAGGTCTGGTTGGATGCCTTTTGAATCGTCAACCCCTTTAATGTAAAGGACACACTGTGAATTGGAAAAATGAAGATTATTTGGCTCCCCGTTGATATGGAAGACTGAAAGGAGATTCATGTGGTCTTATTTGTGAAAGGAAATCACAAAAATTTAGCTGCAAAGATGAGTTCAGAGGAGAAAGGTATATCTCCTGCTCACAAAACCTCTACACCGTCTCATAAAAGTGCCTCTTCTTCGTCATCTTCCCAGAGGGACAGTAGGCAGGTAGGTGAAAAAATAACATTTTGTGACTAAGTTACTTGGTTGATTTCTCCTTTGAACATGATTAAATGTCAATCTAACCAAAAATATTAGTCTTATAAATTTGTTTGGATCACCTGTTTCGTGGAGGAAGAAATGTTAAACAAAATCTGGGCTGCAAAATTATATATACATAGCTGTTGTAAATATATAAGTTGGGCATGTTAGTTATTTCTTATACAGTTGTTGAGCAATTGATGATGACATGGAAACAAAGCATTCATGCCTTTCTACAGTCATAAACAAGGAGGGGAGCTACATGCTTATTGGTTCATGAACATAACACAAAAGGAGACAGAAACAGGATTATTCTGTTTCTGGTAGAAAAGGAGAAATACTCCTAATTTTCCTTGCAGAATAAAAGGCTTCCTGTCATTGGTTCTCCATTCATAATGGCAGGAAGGATTACGGAAAACAGAGAGTTTTACCTGCTTAATTTAGGCCAGTGGTTCCCAAAGTTTTTTTTTTGACCAAGGAACAATTGATCAGGGACCACTTTGACCAGGGATCACCTGACTACGGACCATTTTGACTAGAGACCCCTCTCCAACATTAGTACCAAAAGGATTACGAATCAGTTTTTGGTCAACTTTAGATTTGGTTTGGGGTGCTGATTCAGAAAATGGCATTGGATAGACCATATCAGCTCTAGTTTCTGCTACAGAACATATGCCATGGTCAGCGACAGGGAAAGAGTAGCAGGTGGCATGAAAGGAGTGGAAATAAAATAAAATAAAGAGGAAGAAGGCTCGTGGATGAGATTTTCATCTTCGCGGCCCACTGGTGGCCCACGGCCCACAGGTTAAGAACCACTGATTTAGGCAGATACAGCTGTAACAGTCACCCATGCTTTGGTGGTTCTAGGTGGAGGAATGGAAGAGCCACTACATTGGAATGGATGTCCATAACTTCTTGCCTGCATTACATTTCTGAATTAGATTCATCATCTTGAAAATTGGAGTCTCAGTTGCCATTGGAACAGATATTTTCCTTGTTTTATGTAATGACTTGCTTTTTTAGTTTTCCAGCCTGAGAAAGTAAGCTAGGAAGCAAACTGGAAATTGTAATTAGAGCCGTCTTTACGCTGTCCTAAAACAGAGAATCTGAGATGAAATATAAAATCATAGCAGCAGAGCCTATATTCAGCCAGTGCCAACTCCACAAAGGATTGCATGCACATTCCCTTTGCATTACAAGCTGCCCATGAGACCTTCCAAAAAACTCTCTGTGTGTTCACTCTGTTCACCTGAACAGGTATAAGACCTATTAAAAACCTCTCTTGGTATGTGTGCATGAGAGAGGGAGGTACAAACAAACTTTGGTGATTTATTCTTTTGATGATGGTTAAATCTGTCTAAACATTTGTCCTGTAAGTAGAAACTCTCATTATCTTCTTTAGAAATTGGTTAGTAGGCAAAAAAGTTGCTGTTCTTCTGTATTATGAAATCATTGTTCTTCAGACATAATTGTAAGAACTAAAACCTTTAAGAATGTATTTCCGCAACATTTTAATTTCTAAGGATGAAGGGGACCCACCTGTCTCATATCAAACTGGCATTTATGCTCAAATATTAAGAGGTTTAAAAGGTCAAAGAGTTCAAGTAAGCACTCCCATGTTCTTGACATTTTGATAGTACGAAGCATTCTGCAGTTGAAAATGCTTGAGGAATTAGGAAAACCTTTGAAAATGTCTGTTCCTTGGTTGAAGTATCTGTCTAAATCATGTTTAAGAGAGGACAGACATATTTAAGACATAAGTAGTACAATTTAGTGAATCGCAATTTCGGAAATATCAGTAAGAAACAGAAATGTAACATGTCAAATTTTAACACTTAATGGAAAGATGGAGGGATACATGACATTTTCTGCTTGATGAAATTCAAAGACAGTAGAGGAGGCTTGTTTATTATGAGAACTTGCTGAATGTGATTTAATTCATACTCAAAGAACGCTGAATACCATAGAATCACTATGGAGGACTCAGCGATGCTTAGAGAAGTGTTTTTTCAAGGCTTCCAAGTATAATTGTATTATCACTTTCCTTTGAAGGTTCAACTGGAGGGTGAATCATCCTGAATGACTGGAGAGAACACTAGGGACCTTATCACATTGACAATTGGAAAGTGTGTTTGGGGGGGGGGGGGTCAGAGGCAACCAACTTAATTCACTCCCTATAATCTTTTCCCATCTTTTGGGCCAGCCGGCAATCATGCGTCCTTTCCCATGCTTTCCCCTCATTTTATTGAGTCAGGAGTCGGGTGGCACTTGACTCTTGAAAACGGGGTCTTCTCTCCATTTTAACATTCTGGCAACACAAATTCCCATGGGCAGCCACCAAAGGCGGCCGTGTATTGTAGGATGGCCTCTGTGGGACTCTGTTTTGCCATTGTGTTAAAATGGAGAGAAGACTAAGAGAAGATTATGTGGGATGAAGTTGTAGGCATCATTAACATCCAGAGTGATGTGATGGTGCTTCACTGAAGACTTCATTCTTCATAGATACACGGAAATCATATTATGTAAAGCATCTTGGATTGGATCCCTCGCATAGTAAATGGGCCTACTATCTAATAGATCTGCATCTCATTAGTACATTCTCTTTCAAATAATGAATAATCACTTGAGTAGTAGAGCTGAATTGTTCCCTCGCCATCATTGCTGAATTGTTCCCTCACCCTGTCATTGCATCCCCATTGGCCTTACCTGTTATTATATGTATTAGGCAAAGTATGACTTTTGGGCAGCCTCCATCACTCTTAGCCAGGGATAGCCACTAGTGAGAAGTCTTGGGAGTTAGAGTTTGTTGTGTGATTGGCTATCCTTTGCTCGTCTCTGGTTGGAGACCATTTGCAGAAAGGAAGGGTCCTTGGGAGCAGGGAGCTTGTGTGCATAGAACAGCCTCCGTTCAATGTATGCTCCCCACCATGATATTAAAACCAACAGGTGTCTCTTTACAAAACTGCTAGTTATGTGAGGGTTAATACTTAACTAGGGTTATATGAGAGAGCTCATATCTGAATATGACAAATGATTATAACATATGACAACACCTATTATCCTTTCAAGAGAAAGTTTCATAATGGTTAGAAAGCCACTGCAAGAGCCCGAAGAAAAGGCATTGAGCATAATTAGAAGAAAAGATGAAGTTTGGAAAAGTTACTTTTGAACTATAATTTTTCAGACTCCCCAGTAAACAGGCAATAATGGGGAATTTGTAGTCCAAAATGCAGCTTTTTCAGCCTCTAAGAAGGTTGGTTGCTGATGACACGATAAATAAAATAAGCCTCTAAGAAAATGTGCAGCAAGCTTGAACTGAATACTACACCCTTGCTTATCTCTTTGAGTGGACTGTAGCATATATTACCATCAGAAGATACACAAAGCATCTAACCTCACAAGGCACATGCTCACAAAATTAATTATAATTAGACTTCACAGTTTTATTGTGAAATATATTAGGATTTTCATCTTTAATAAAATTCTCACATAAGGGGCTAAGGCAAGAACATTGATTTTGGCAATGTGATGGTGATGTTATTTCTGTGAACCTGATAAATTTCTGTAGGTGTTGCCAGCCTTTTCTCTTTGTTTCGTGTGTGGAAGAACATTTATTCTCCTTATTTCTGTTTGTTTTAGAGTGGCCATATATTAGAGCGAAATATTTCTTCAGGAAGTGCAGATCTGGTAATGGGCAAGCAGTTGCTAGAAAATGAACCAGTCACCATATCTAAAGTAAGTAAAGCCTGAGAGGTTAGGGATGGGGTAGAAAAACCAAATATTTGCATGTAAAACAAAATGTATTGGCTTACTGCTTAGTTTTAAATACCGTATGTAAAGTTTATATGTGCTTTTTTTGATACAGGGCTGAAGTTAGCATGCGTACAGTGCAAAGGCAATTAATATGAAATGGATTGTCTTTGGGTGTAATGAGCAATATCTTCTGGTTACTTTTTAGGAGGCATTTTGAAGGATTTTTTTAAAAATGTTCAATGCTATTTCCTTGTAAATTCAAGGTTTTTTTTTAAAAAAAAACAACCAATAAGTAGCAAGAAAGGAATAAGTAACACAGTATAATGTAGTGGCAACAAATTGAGGTTTACATGAGGAATTATTTTTAAAAGTACCTAAGTTTTGGTTTTGACAATGCCAAATGATGTAAAAAGAGGTTTCATCCTACCCGCCTCTGGGTGATTTGAGGTGGGAAGTTGACTGCGCTCTGCATTTATTTGCGAACTACGTACACGCAGATGTCCTTTTGAAGCAGAAGCTATTAAGATACTCATTCAACAGCCCACACTTAATTAGATGACTAGTAGTCGAGTCATGGGAAGGAAAACTCATTTGAAAAACAGACAAGATAAACAGCATTCTAAACCGGAAAATATTTTGTTTCGTTCAACTGTTAAGATACAAATAAAGCAAAAAAATGTGCAGATTTTTTTCAGATATGTGCTGTGCTCCAAGTTCACTCTGATAGAGCAGTAAGGGTTTGAGAGATGGGCAGGAAAGACTTTTCTGTGATGTCATTGGCACTGGCAAAAAAGGCATTTCAATCTCAATCCAGACAATATATGGCTACTTCCAGGGAGGATATGTTTTGTTTTGGTCTCAACTGGCAGGCTTGTGTGGACAATGATGAAGTGTTGCATAGAATTTACCTTGGTGTTCCAGGGCCCTTCCACACAGCCCTATATCCCAGAATATCAAGGCAAAACACCCCACAATATCTGCTCTGAACTAGAATATACTGCAGTGTGGACAGAGATAACCCAGTTCAAAGCAGATATTGTGGAATTTTCTGCCATGATATTCTGGGATATAGGCCTGTGTGGAAGGGCCCCCAGATTGGTCCTGGAATTAAGATGCCACCTTAGCCAAAGTGGATTACATACCATTGTTTGACAAGAGGACTTATTCAAGCTTTTCCTCGTGTCTTTCATCCAGAGGAAGGTGGATATGCCCTGTGACTTTATTACATCAGAGGGCATGTCTTACTAATTACAGTTTTATATGAATGAACTTTAATTTTTTAAATTTTGTTGGTAGTTCGTTTTGACTCAAGTAGCTATATGCATGGTTTTGAGGAACATTTTGCTTAAAAAAGTTTCAGCTCATAAAAATAGAGTAATGAGAAGCCTTTTTAGTGGAGCACTGGTTAGGCAGTTTGATGTGGTTGCCAAACAACATACCGTGCCATTCCCATGGGCTGCTTCTACTGTTTTAACCCCTTTTAACTTCTTAAATTGTTAATATATTTTAACTGTCTGATTTCTTTGTACCATTTACATTGTTTAAGTTAAGATTAAGGGGGGCTTGACCTGCATTAGGAATGAGCTCTGTGTGACTTTTGGCTGCTATGGGGCCATTGGTTCCCAACCTTTTTTTTTTTTTTTTACTAGGGACCACTCTCCAACATCAGTACCAAAAGGGTTACAAATTAATTTTTGGTGAACTTTAGATTCAGTTTGGTTATTTGGGGTGCTGATTCAGAAAATTTCATTGGATAGACCACATCAGCCTTAGTTTCTGATGCAGAACATATGCCATCCAGTAGTCGCCACCTGCTTGCCCACGGAAAATCATATTTAATAATCTAGAACTGGCGTGGTCTATCCAATGCAATTTTCTGAATCAGCACCCCAAATGACCCCAGGAACAGGCTTAAAAACGAAGACACCAAGGCGCCCCTGCTTCCAGGTTCCAGGGGGAGAGAGGAGGAGGAGAGACAGCTGTCAGGAGGCTAGTTTTCGTGTCTTTTGTGGGTAGTCAACCTCTCCCCACCCAACATCCCAGTTACTTCAGCACTATAAGAGGTTTTTGCAAGACTAGTCGCTCTTGTTGCAACAGTGTAGTAACGGTGAGGCCATGGACCATATTTTAGGTCTTGAGTACTACTGGTGGTCCACAGGCCACAGGGTGGGAACCACTGATCTGCACTGACTTAAGTGCTCAGTGTACATGTGATCAAATAAACCCTGGGGAGTTAGTAGTATGTCAAGGTAGTTAGACTTAAAAATTCCCTTTATTTGTCCAAACATGGATGTTTATACCCCATGGTTAAGAAGAAGTAAGTATTCCAGGCATATTGGGTTCCCACCTTCACAGCTGAAAAATATGACTCATTAGTCATGAGCCATTATTAATGTGTTTATTTTCTGGTTTTCTCTACTCTCTCTTTTTTCAGGAGCCAGACAACTGGGAAATTATAGAAGGTCTGAAAATTGGTCAGACTAATGTTCAGAAGCCAGACAAACATGAAGGATTCATGCTGAAGAAACGGAAATGGCCTTTAAAAGGCTGGCACAAGGTAAAATGTCCATAAAGCAGCTGAGTGATCATTGCTTCAAACAAAAGGAAGAGTTATGGTTGTTCATGGAAAATTGATTTATTATTCCACTTTTATACAATCGCTTCTAAAACACTACAATATACAGAGATGGTTTTAAACAATTGATTATTGCAACAGCACAACAACAGAGAGGAAGCAGGCAGGGACATCTAATTACCGCTCAACAAAAGTTTGCCCCAGGCACAGTCAGGCCATTGTATGCTAATCAAGGTCAGTTGAAACATTCACACCTAGCTCTAGCAGACAAGAGTCCTTTGTCCCACCCTGGTCATTCCACAGATATATAAACCCTTTTGCCTAGTTCCAACAGACCTCACTACCTCTGAGGATGCTTGCCATAGATGCAGGCGAAACGTCAAGAGTGACTGCCTCTAGACCATGGCCATATAGCCAAAAAAAAACCCCTACAACAACCCAATTGATTTATAGTGGAGATAACTGATTTTAGCATTTATGTATATTTATAATCCATTTTATGTTCCGGCATTGCATGTTTGCCATATATATTTTGTGTTTTCCCCTGAGTCCCTTCCAGGGTGAGAAGGGTGGAATATAAATGCTTTAAATAAATAAATACTATATGTGTGTGTGTGTGTTTTGTGCATTGGCATATCTTTGTCCCTAACAGTTCAAAGACATACCTAGGTATATCAGCTTAACAGCCGAGAAACCTAAGTGCCTTGCATGAATGCCATTTTCTCAAAAGGTTATGGGATCATTTTCCAAAAAGTTATGACTTCTAATAAGGTCATGCCTTTCCAAATATCATAAAATCTCCAAAAGTTTATGGAGATTTCCATTTTTCCAAAAAGTGACGAGGGACAATATCTGAATAGATGCTGGAAATCTCTCATCTGAATTTCACAGGCATAAATTCACGTGACGACTGCCTTTTAGTTCCAATTCTTGTTTACAGTGTCATCATAATAATGGATTACCTGGTTAGATTAATTGAGATAATGCTTGTGAGAAGTGCTTTGAATACTGGCAAGGTCTTTTATAAATAGTAAGTGTTAACACTGTAATTAATTGCTGCTGTCACACATGGAAGTAAAGTGTTTATTAATTTTTCTCTCCCAATGTTGGTTATTAGAGAACGACAGGGAATATGTATTTGTTCCATCTGTTATATTGCTTTGCTTATTCCTGGTTTTATTTAGTCACGTCAACATTTTTCCCTGCAGCGCTTTTTTGTCCTGGATAATGGAATGTTGAAGTACTCAAAGTCACCGATTGATGTAAGTAAAGCTATTTTAAAAGTTGGGAAACGCCTTTTACATTCACTTTAAATCAAGAGTTGGTAACATACTACCCTGAGGGCCTATTCTTGAGTTCACAAAATCCCCCTGGATTCAGGTGAAAGAAAAATAGATGGAAAATATGAAAGGAACATAAAAACAATCACTTTCTTTGATGTCCACTACCCCAAATGCTTAAAAACCACGAAAATTACCCATATTTTGGCTAATTTCAGGAACCAGAACTAAATGACCACCATCATCTAGAATTTGCTTACATCTTCTACATTTTTTTTTCTTGAACACTCTTTGGAAATGCATCAGAAATTAAATATTTGTCTTGGTTTATAATGGTTTTGCAAAGCTCTACCCACTCCATTTCCACTGTATACTATCAAATTTTCTGAAAGAAAGGACGATAGATCAGCAGCTTCTTGATGTCTGCTATAATAAAACATGCTTGATATTTCTTTCCACAGTTAGTTAAATCATTTGATTCCCCCCCCCCTCCAGTTTTCTCAAGTTCCTGAGCTTCAGCAACACAGGGAATAATGTATACCAGGAAAAATAAATACTTTGGCTGAGTATTTCTTGTAACACTCCTTAGGTGTATCTACATTGTAGAATTAGTGCAGTTTGATTCCACTTTAACTGCCATGGCTCGATACTATGTAATCACAAGAGTTATAGTTTTACAAATTCTTTAGCTGTCTGTGTGTCACTAAACCTAAAATCCCAGGATTCCCTAACATTGAGCCATGGTAGCTAAAGTAGGGTCAAACTACATTAATTCTACAGTGTAGATGCACCCTTAGTCATGAGACTTATTAAAACAGGCAGCTGGAGGGATCCCTCAAGATCCTTTTATCACTACTTCTCTCAGTGTCTGTACACGTGACTCCCAAAAGTTACAAACATTAAATCTGATTTACCTTGTAGTGACTACCAAATACCATACAAGTCAATCTTTTTTTTTCTAATGTTGTTGATAACTTTTCCCTTGCTCTTTCAGACTCAGAAAGGGAAGGTCCATGGAAGCATAGACGTTGGTTTATCGGTTATGTCAATTAAAAAGAAAGCTCGTAGGATAGATCTTGACACCGAAGAGCACATCTACCACTTGAAAGTGAGTTTTGCGACTAATTGCACAGCCAAACCAATTAAAAACCAAACCTCGGTGTAGTGTTATATGGTGTTCTAGCAGCATTTGCTTGGTGTCGTGGGGCCCTTCCACACAGCCCTATATCCCTGAATATCAAGGCAGAAAAATCCCACAATATCTGCTTTGAACTGGGTATCTGAGTCCAGTCTCAGATAATGTGGGATTTTTTTGCCTTGATATTCTGGAATATAGAGCTGTGTAGAAGGGTCCTCAGTTTTTAGACCTGTTCCTGGAGTTATTTGGGAGACTGATTCAGAAACTTGCAATGGCTATAACACATCTGCTCTAGTTTCTTAGATATGGTTCTCATGGTTTTCTATGGGCAAGGAGATGTTGAGTTGGGGATGGCATATGTTCTGTATCTTAAAAACTAGAGCTGATAGAAGAAAACGGGGGCCATTTTTTGAATCAGCAGGTCAAATATACCCAGAAACAGGTCTAACATTTGACGTACCAAAATGTGTGTTGGTCAGTGTTATTTTTCACACTTACCAGAATCACATTAACCAAATGGGAGCAATATTCCATGACTCAGCTTCTACTCCCATTCCTCCTTTTACCAGGTGAAATCCCAGGATTCTTTTGATGCTTGGGTGTCAAGGCTACGCCACCACCGACTATACCGTCAGAATGAGATTGTACGATCACCACGAGATGCCAGCTTTCACATATTCCCTTCAACTTCAACCACCGAGTCTTCACCAGCTGCTAATGTTGCCATGCTGGAAGCTAAGGTATAGCGTGACCTTATTCTGGAAGAACTCCATTTTGGAGTTCATATTTAGTTATTGTACCACATTTCCTGCCTGTTTTTTCTCAGGATTTGGATGATATTATAGGCAATGTTAAGGCCCCTTCTACACCGCCCCTTCTTCATTGCCACATTCTCTTCTTTGAACTGGATTATATGAGTCTACACTGTCATATAATCAAGTTCAAAGTAGATAATCTGGATTTTATATGGCAGTGTAGATGGGGCCTAAGTCAGATAAGAGGAGAAGACATTTATGAAAACCTTTGTTACTGAATTATCTGGTTTTGTAGGTTTGTAGGTTTTTAAAATCAGTTATGATAGAGTGCAAAATATCTATATGCGTTTAATTTTATTAAGGGGTAAACCGTATCCCTTGTTCAGTTTTTGTCACTGACTGTGTTATTAATATTTGGTATTCAGTATTATAGAGTTTTTTTCGTATTTATCATTCAGTGTTGCAATTTTCTATATTGCCTTTTCCCCTTAGGTATCACAGAATAACTTCCCATGGCAGCCACCTATCCCTTGCAGTAACAGCCTGTCTCCATTACCTGCAACATGTACCACTGGCCAAAGTAAAGTAGTTGCTTGGTTGCAAGACTCAGAAGAGATGGATAGATGTTCAGAAGGTCAGTAGTTCCTTTAGGTCATGCCATGCTAGGGATTTTGCTAATGCATGGTGATGGTAGAAGTATCCATAGAGTCTAATAATATGATTGTTGTTCCTGGGCTATAAATGCCATTTCCTAATTGATTCTGTCATAAAACCATGGGGAAAGTTTATTAAACTCCACATACTTTGTTTTTGTGGGACATCCTGCAGCACATTTTACTATAGTTTTTCAATGAATATCTCACAGAGTCTCAACCAATTAAACCTACCATAGTTTGTACCATAAAAACAATGTTTCTGGAGTATAACAATTACTTTCAGAGGATGTACTGCATAATTAAATTACTTTCGAACCAGGAATAGAAAATGTTTCAAATTTTGTTACATAGTGCAATAGATTAGTGTTGTGGTTCATCTGATCTGTACTTACCATTATGAATTCATTTGTGATTTGCTTGGTATATCATTTTTTCAAAGACTCCTTTCAGTGGCATTTTGAGGTTCACATGATTCCAATCTTTATCTACATCTTCTTTCAAAGGGTGCCTCTGCACTGGAGAATTAATGCACTTTGACACTACTAGCTACCATAGCTCAATGCTATAGAATCCTGGGATTTGTAGTTTGCTGAGGCATCAGCACTCTTTGGCAGAGAAGGCCAAAGACCTTGTAAAACTAACAAGTAACAATATAACTCCATAGCATTGAGCCATGGCAATTAAAGTGATATCAAACTGCATTAATTCTGCATACTAGGAGTGTTTCAAAAACATATTCTAATTTCTAATGAAATACAACACCCCAAATCCACAAAATAGAAAAAACAAGAACCAAAAATGCACAAAGCTTCACTAGCTTTTTCATCAGGCAAAGGTGTTAAAATCATACTGGAGAAGAAGAAATCATGATGTCATTTCAACTCCATTTTTTATTGCCTGGTTTTTATTGTGGACACTGGGAGACAAAGAGTCATAAAATCCAACCAATAAAATTTCAGTTGAATCCATTTATTGCCTGGATTTTATGACTCTTTGTCTCCCAGTGTCCACATGGCTAAAGAGGGAGAGATATCCGTACAGACCCTCTTAACTGACAGTAACAAAAACAACATCTTCATAAGCTTATGACTCTAACATCATCCTTTTTTCTTCTTTTCCTGTATGATTTCTATACTTTTGACTGATGAAGAAGCCAGTGGAGCTTCAAAAGTTGTCTAATGTATTTTGTATATCATTATTTAGTCCAATAAATCCATTGCTGTTTTGTGGATTCTAGATGTTGTGCTATGGCTACACCTTGATAGATTTCTGATGACTATTCAAACCTCTTTCTTAAGAGAATTTTATTTCTTCTTTTCACTAATTTCTCAGGTGCTAAACAATTTTCCATGTGTTATTTATTTTACTTGTCCACAATTCTAGACCTACAGATATCTATATATCTATATATCTATATCTATATATATCTATATATATATATATTAAAAATCATATTCCAGGGTAATACCTTTATGGGCCTTCCATAAATCATAATATTTAAATTGATTTTGTTGCTTTCTTGCAATCTTTAAGATTAAACTTTCAGACATATGGATGTCAGGGCTGTGTATATAATTAAAACAACAAACCTTCCAAACACACCAAAGCAAACGCTTCTTAGATTTTTAATTTGTTGTTGATTAAAGAGAGCAGAAAAATAGAGGCCCATCTCCATCTAGGGCAGTGGTTCTCAACCTTCCTAATGCCGTAACCTTTTAATACAGTTCCTCATGTTGTGGTGACCCCCAACTATAAAATTATTTTTGTTGCTACTTCATAACTGTAACAGTAATTTTACTGTTATGAATCATAATGTAAATATCTGATATGCAGGATGTATTTTCATTGTTACTTCTCTTTCTCCCTGGGATTTGGCCATGGAGGGGCCACTCCACCCCTTGTTAATCCCTGCCTTCCTCCCTCACCTTCTCCCTTCTCACCTCCTCCTTCTCCTTCTCCTTCTCCTTTCCTTGTGGATACAAAGCAAACCTCACCTCTCCCGCTCCCGTCTCTTCCTTCTAAAATAGCAGAGGGGGAGGGGCTGAGTGATGTCACCACCTCCCTCTGGAGAAGAAGAAAAGGCCCCTGGGAAGCAAAAGGGAAAAAGTTAGCAGCGTCTTGGTTCCTAAGACCATCAGAAATATGTGTTTTCTGATGGTCTTAGGCAACCCCTGTGAAAGGGCCATTCCACCCCCAAAGGGGTCGTGACCCACAGGTTGAGAACCACTGATCTAGGTGATTCCCGGTAATACTTTTGTCCCAAAATTAACTGACCTCATTTATGCAATATCAGTGGCTTCCATTTGTTATTCCACTATGTTTTCCTACTGTTTTGCTCTTTTATGTTCTTAATACAAAAAATGCATTGAGGAAGCAAAGATGGGACAGGTTCTTTATGCTTCTAACAAGTGTTACTATAATATTTTACATTTGTTTTATAAATCAGTATGGTAGTGCTGTTGTACAGATGATGTGACCCCATCCAAGGCAAGTAACTCAGGTCACATCTACACTACTATGTAATGCAGTTTCATTATGCAGTTTGACTGCATTATATGGCAGTATAGAGTCATATAATGCAGTTAAACTGCATTATGAAACTTCATAATATGGCAGTGTGAGATGGGACCACAATCTCGAGCAAGATAAAATATATATCCCTCTCTTCCCCTTCTCTGTTTTTTCTCTTTTGGAAATCCATGTCAGATCTTGCACACTGCCAGTCAAACCTTGTGGAACTCAGTAAAATCCTTCAAAACTTAGAAATACTTCAGAGAACTCAGTCAGCTCCAAACTTCACCGATATGCAGGTAAACATATTTTGTTAAAATCTAATGAAATAATATTATTTAAACTTGAAACATCAAATGTATCATTTATCAAAGGATATGAAATGCAGAAGGTATAGCCTTGTCAATTTTAGAAACTCTCAGGTCACTCAAAGGAGACCCAAGAAGGGGAAGAATAACTTCATGATCTTGTTTATATATCAGGATAAGATAGGGTTTCAGGGAAACTTGGCTTATTGTGAGTTAAGCATGTGCCTGCAAAGTACTTGATAGTTGCTACTGCAACTTGATGTCTCTCCTCTTACTAGTCAAAGATATAGACCGTGCCTTGTGGTTCTGACTTGTTCCGAGGAGAGATAATCCGAAGAGCTGGGAGCAGAGTCATGATGACCGCAGTGTTTCCAGTGAAATTGAGCTTGCTGAGCCACTCCTGCTTGTCATAAAAGCTTAATGTGATGCTCTCACACGCAGGCTCTACGAAGACTATAAATAATCCCATCCAACACAAATTTAGAAACACTTGCCTAATTTGTAGAAATAGAGATTGTGTGATTCATGGAATCCTTGATTCTATCCATGTAATATTCAGTTGTTCTTTGTTGTTGTTTTGCTAGGGAGTTGGAATGTCACACAGAAGTAAGGACAAACACCTTTTTGCAGTGAATTTTAGATTAACATAGCACCTGCACCAAAGATAACTGGCTTTACAATTGCTTTCAGAGTTTTTGTTCTTTAATTGCTCTCCAGTCGGCCTGTTTGTTTTGCTTCTAAAGCCTAGATTTAACATTCTTGTCATGTTTCTATTTCCAGAGAACTGATTCTAACACTCTGACCTAATTTTTTGCAATATTGTCTGTGTCCACTTTGTGAGCTTTAATGTAGTGCTTTTGTTGCCTTCTAACTATTTTATTATGTAGGCTAACTGTGTAGATAAGAAAGACAAGCGTGTCACAAGAAGATGGAGAACAAAAAGTGTCAGCAAAGATGCTAAAATACAGCTCCAGGTATTTTCATGTTATTTCCCCCCCTTTCATCACACTCTTTGGTAAACATTATTTTCCCCTTTTACATAAAAAAAGAACAGAACAAATAATTTTCAGGTCTTTCTCTTTTGTTTTTGAAAGCTTTTTAAAAACTGGAAGATCAAGGCTCTTTAGTCTTTTTCTTTGTTCTGCTCTTAATATGAAAATTTAGAGAAGACAGAAAGTTTGTTAAAACACAAAGCAAGTTACTAGACAGGATCCAATCAGCTAAGGTTTCTGAACTCTCCTTGTTCAGTCTGATGTTTGATTTTTTTTCCACCTTCACAACATACCACAATCTGCTTTAAAAAGTTTTGTCAGTTTTATAGTGGTTTGCCAGATAATATGCAGTGGGATGGGGGAATGTAAAAAAAAGAAAGGCAAAGAAAACCCTTCACTGTAACGGACCGTCCACACAGCCATATAACCCAGAATATCAAGACAGAAATCCCACAATATCTGCTTTGAACTGACTTATCTGAGTCCACATTGCTATATATTCCTGTTCAAAGCAGATAATGTGGTATTTTGTTTGGATGTGTGGAAGAGGTCTAAGGTACATGTTTAGTTACAGAGTTATTGAATCCCAGACATTATGTTATCATTAACAAAGATGTCCTGATTTGTTTTCTGTGTATCATATAATGTTTGATTAGCACATGTTTCCATTTTGCTATATGAACATGTTTAGAGGAGTTATGACCAAACTTCTCATCAGAAGGCCCTTTTTACATTTCTGTATTAAATACAGATTATCTGCTTTGAACTGGATTATATGGCAGCATAGACTCATATAATCCAGTTCAAGGCAGGTAATCTGGATTATTTGATAATCTGGATTATTTGCTTTGATAATCTAGATTATATGGCAGTGTAGAAGGGGCCTTACCCTTACGGCCATGTTGATGAACTGTGACACTTTAGACTTCCAGAGTGTGATACCACTTTGGATAGAAAATATTGCAAGCTTGAAAATAGCTACTTGCCTGGACATTTAGGGCAAGCTAAAACTGCCTCTAGGCACTTATGTGAGGCAATGCTCTAAGATTTGTGTTAATTTTGGAAGTTTTGCTCTTTCCTGGAAAGAAATGAGAAACAGTGATATTCACTGCCTCCTTTCTTGCCTGACACTTGTTTCCTACTTGAATCTCAAAGAGAGGAAAAGAAATATTCTCAGCATTGCTTGGAGGAATGTCCCCTATTTAACAACTTGGGAAATTTATATCATGGATGGAAGCTATGCTTCATAAGATTTGAGAGGAAGGTTTATGATCCAAAAAAGTATATTTTTTTCCAAGGTCCTCTTCCCTCCCTCCTCTCTCTTTCTTCTTTCTCAAGACAGGAATTACAATAGACTATTTCTACCAACGACAATGAAACTAATTGCTGTCCTTTTCTGTCCTCCTTCTTATGTCCTTTTTTTATATATATACAGAGAGGTAAAGGGACAGGATTTGCCCCAGTTGGATGAATACAATAGAGCCCTTTGTGGCTTGTCTTTCTCTCAGCATTTGTCCCTTTCCTCTAGTGAGAATAGGTTTTACTGTCTCTCTGGCAGAGACAGAAAAGAAAAATGAAAGCTATGCACTGTGTTGCCAGTTGATGTTCCTTCCTCTTTCCCAAGCTTAGACAATTCCTTTTCCTGTCAACTTCCTACAAGGTTTGGAAGTGAGATTGGTTGGTGCATGCATGCTCATTTGGAAAAGGTCAGCTTTGATCTTCTGATAATTCACAAGACAGAACTATTACTGACAAGGTGAACAAACTAAAAAAAGAAGATAAATGTTGGTAGGGTTGTGGGAAATAATAATAATAATACTCAGGGACTTCTGAATTCAGACAGACAAGAGTTTTGGAGCACAATACTCCTGGCCTCACGATCATGTTGAAAAACAAAGTATGGATTGTCAATGTTGCAATCTCAGGTGACAGCAGGATTGAAGAGAAACAACTGGAAAAGCTGACATATGAGGATTTAAAGATCGAACTGCAAAGACTCTGGCACAAGCCAGTAGGTGGTCCCAGTGGTGATCGGCACACTGGGTGCAGTGCCTAAAGACCTTGGCCTGCACTTAAACACAATCGTCGCTGACAAAATTACCATCTGCCTGCTGCAAAAGGCCACCTTACTGGGATCTGCATGCATTATTTGTCGATACATCACACAGTCCTAGACACTTGGGAAGTGTCCGATGTGTGATCTAATACAACAGCCAGCAGAGTGATCTTGTCTGCTGTGGACTCATCTTGTTGTGTTTCAAATAATAATAATAATAACAACAACAACAACAACAACAATAATAAAGCATATATATCTCATTTGCTGTGACATACTGTGTTTTTGTGTCAGTAAAGTAATAATAATAATAATAATAATAATAATAATAATAATAATAATACGTTCTGCTGGAATAAGTTTTTAATATTAAAAATGGTTCTTTAATTAAAATTACAGATACTTTCAAATATTTTATTCACATTCAAGACTGAGTGGCACCTTCAAGCAATCTTTGTGCTTGTTTTTGTGCTATGTTTTATATGTGTACGCATGAAAAATTGTTCCGTCACATTGTTATTAGTATCCGTTTTCTGAGAAGACTAGTTGCAGGCTGTTTCTCGTCTTCTTCTCATATTTCACTGCTATTGTTCTAGTAGCTGGCAGCTGAAATACATGTCATAGGAGAAGGTGGAAGTGAATAGCCTGAACACCCAGTGTAGGAGTCTTGTCACTGAAGCTGACTAAGACACACCAGCAGAAGAGCTGAAAAATAAGTGGGAGTAGGATAGAGATGCGGTAGAGTGAAGGAGTGAAGTTACATCAGATTCAAACTTTCTCCAGGTCAAAACAGCAGTTCTTACTAGAAATTAAGACCAAGGTTCTGCTGGCCCTTACCTATCTTGGCCAATTAGACTTGCACTTAGACTCTTCTCTCCAATGTTGGCTTTCCTGTCTGTACAAAAATACCTTTGCTGGTATGTCAAAGTATGTAAATTCTTTTAGCTGAATCAAAGGTGGAATGAGTTTGTTTGTTGATGGAAATGCATTTCAGATAATAGTTTGAAATACTATACTCTATTGTGCATCCTGTAAAATATGCTTCATTGTTTTTAGTAGTTTTTGCACAGGAAAAAACAGATTTCCTTTTCTCTGTGGTTCACAAAAAGTTTGTTTTCAATTGAGGACCTGGTTGATTCTCTTAGTCTGGTATAAGAAGGTGGAGTGTGTGTTGAGGGGTCTCTTTCAATCTTGTCTGACTTATAATGAAATCTAACTTATGGTGATCCTTATAGTTTTTGTGGCACGATTTACTGAGAGTTGTTTTGTTTGCTTCCCTTTGAGACAGAGAGAGGAGCCTTGTCCGAGTGACTTCCAATGGCTGACCAGGGATTCAAAGCATCATCTCCTTGAGTCCTAGTCAAACACTCTAGCTGCTTTGCCATGGGCTCTTCTCTGTCCTAGGCTTACTCCCAGATAAATTAATTAGAGCACAGTTGCTAATCTTACCTGTACATGGAATTTGCATGAGCTCCTCTAAGGGAACACTTGAAAAAGCAGAACAGGTGGTGTATAGCAGAGGTTGAGGCAAACCTAAGATTCCCCTTTCATGGATTGTGAAGGATGTTTGATTCAGCTCAAAGGTTTCAGGGCCTAATGGCAGAAGTGCATGCTTTGCCTCTCTTCAACAGTGGTCTATGGTTGTATGGTTGCTCTCAAGAAAACAAAGGAATAGATTGACTTTAAGTTTGTGAGTCCTTTCCTGGTCACTTTTGTGTGGCATTTTAGAGTTTATATGGTACAACAACGGGCTGTTTTCATCTACTCTTTTTGGACACTGTTTGTTAAGTAAGTGTTTGTCTGCAGTCCTTGTTGCTTTGGGAGTGATACAGACTATATTTGAATGGAATGTAATGGAGGAATTGAACAAGACCACACATATTCAAATACTTGAATGTAATGAATAGGTATGTAATATAGATTTAATTTATAAACCATAGTGTAATTTGGGACCACAGAAAACTCTATATAGCTTATATACATATTTTCTATAGCTGGTTTGCAAGCTCACTCAACTGATGTGAGAGCCACATTCTGGGTAATTTCTACAACAATGAATAAAGTAAACCAGTTATTTCCAACGTCTGGATTTTGTTTGTCCTTTCATCCCATAGCCTTTGTTTTCCTTTGCATGATGAATATCATACAGTTGTCCCTTACATTCAGATGTGTGTGTGTGCATACCTTCAAGTCACCTGTCAACTTACAATGATCCCATGAAGTTTGTATGGTTTTCTTAGGCAAGAAATCCCACATTTGCCAGTTCCTTCCTCGGAAATATAACCAACAGCACCTCTTATTTGGATACTATTGAGAAAATCCTATAGCAAATATTTTTAACATACTGAACGAGAACACTATCTCGTTCCTGAAGGCTATTTAATCCTGAGAATTAGGACTACTGCCAGATTCTTTGCACATTGAAAAACTGAAATCAAAAAGAATTGTCAAGCTAGGATGTGGGCACATTGAGAAGTGATCATATAATTCAGATCACTCATATTTGTTACACCACAATCCTCATTTTAGCTCAGGATTATGGAAAATTGCCTCTTTTGTGGAAGTAAAATTCTGTTAGGAAGCTATTCCTTTTCTAGAATTGCCAGGTTTTCAAAATAGCAATAAGGGTCAATCAAAATTCCTGACTTGCAGAGAGGACAATGAGGAAGTAGCTATTACCAAGTTTATACTCTACCTAAATACAAGATGAAATAATTGATTTCAGTTACATTGGCCATGTGTTTTTCTCTAGAATTAATTTGTTGTCTGCATTAAGGAATAACATGATGGAAATATTTCTGTCTTTACGAGGAATCCACACTAAAAATCACATGATCTGTTTATTTTTGTTTCATTACCTCTCTATATTTGCTGGGATTTGGGATGTAGGACCCCCATGAAACTGAAAAAATGTTAATTTAAAAATTACTTTTAAAAAACAGAAGAAACACCTTTCTGGGAATTTCTAGGTCTTCTAGTGTGACTCTGTATCATGTGGTAGTCCAACTGTGGGTAAAAGAAACAACTTTCTTACCCTAAGATAAGGGATAGTCTTTATAACAAGGAACAAGCTTGCCAACCATCAGATAAGGGACATCACTTATATTGAGGGACTCATGTCAACCCTGCCCTTCTCTGACTGTTTTTCATCTCCCTGCATCCCACCATTCTTCCCCTCCTTTTGCCTCCCTGTTCTTTTTCCGGTTCACTGTCAGGAAGGGACAACGCTGAAAAGCCAGTTCAGTTCTGCACGGCGCCGACAGAGACTGGCGGCAGCAGTGGCTACAACAGTGAGTGGACTTAACAGTTAAGGCACCTACAGCATTAAAGTTGGGAAATTGCATATGGCAGATTGTACTAATCACACTAAGCACATAAACTGCATGGCAGGTGCTTGTGTGACACTTGGGAAGCATGGAAGGATTGGGTTTCAAGGCCTGCTCTAGCCACACAATGAAAATTACTGTGTGCTCACAAATCTTCTAACCTGTATTGGTTTACAGGTCAACCAGTGTGAGCTGGAGCATGCAGTGCAAAGCTTCGCCAAATTTAGTCTCTTTCGGTTATATTGTTAGTCTGGAATGGATTAAAGTCTTGACAAATTAAGCTTGAAGTGCTTCGTTTTAGCTGGAATGGACACTGCATGCATGTGTGTGTTTAGAATTACTTCTCAAATATATTTAAGAGTGGCTTTGTGTATACTTTCTGACACAAATTCTGTGCTTCTGTATTGGTGGTACTCCTAAGATTAGTAGACTTCGGGTAGTTACATCTGGCAGTATGTTTGTTATCTTAGTAGAAAGGAGTCTTGCCACTGCTTTTCCCAATATGGTATTTGGGGAATTCCTACTCCAGGAACTCCTCAAATTCCACAATAACTTCAATTAGTCTCTTTGGACATTGTCCT